AAATAAATATCTTTCTATTATAATTCTTTCAAATAAATATCTTTCGAATATAATTCTTTCAAATAAATATCTTCTAAATATAATTCTTTCAAGTAAATATCTTTCAAATATAATTCCTTCAAGTAAATATTTTTCAAATATACTTCTTTCAAGTAAATATCTTTCTAATATAATTCTTTCAAATAAATATCTTTCTAATACAATTCTTTCAAATAAAAGTCACCATGTGACACCTCATTTAACTTTTATGGCGTGAGAAATATATTCAACATATCATATCAAATGGCACGGAAATACCTTCGTGCACTTGTCTCATTCTCACCCAATATATATATGATAATATAAAAATAATTGCACGGCATCACCCTTCGTGCTTTTACTCTCATCCTCACCTGATAATATAAATGAAATGGCACGGCATCATCCTTCGTGCTTTACACTCTCAATGGCACTGCATTACCCTTCATGCTTTACACTCTCAAATGGCACGGCATCACCCTTCGTGCTTTACACTCTCCCTCACATGATAATATAATTTAAATGGTACGGTATCACTCTTCGTGCTTTACACTCTCAAATGGCACAGCATCACCCTTCTGCTTTACACTCTTCCTTACCAAGCACATGTATATCATTAACAAGCAAGGTAGAAAGCATAAATAACATCAAGGAGAGTGTTTAAACAACAAATTCATATCATAATTTGCCACTGACCACAACCAAATTCCAAATATGTAGCAGAATCAATAAATTTCTCAACAAATAGCCCAAGGCTCCTCACAACGTATATAAAACCCCAAAATAATCAACAGAGGTAAAAAATACTCAGTATAGGGCAACGCCTTTATTAATCCAAATTCTTGATAATTATATTAACTCCTCATTTTAAACTTATTTAATAAATATTTGCAGATAAGGATTTCGTCATGAATTTAATTCCAAAAAAAATATCAAATCAAAAAACACACGGAATTCACATAAAATCCAAGTGACAATAAGACCAAATTATTATATAAAATACAAACTTGACAAATAAGGAATGAGGCGTGATAATTCAAGGATTTACTAAATGCCAACAATTATCCAATTTAATACATAAAATACCTAAAACTTTAAACCAATAAAATTTGCACATATAAACCCGAGTACGTACTCGTCACCTCGCGTACACAGCTTCCAATCACACAATTTTCACATAAGACTCAATGCCTAAGGGGTAATTCTCCCACTCAAGGTTAGGCAAGATACTTACCTTTTTGAATTTATGCCGATATTTCGAAATCGCCCTCTTGCTTGAATTGACCTCCGGACAGCTCAAATCTATCCAAATTAATTTTACAACTTCATTAAAATTTATGAGAAACAATTCCGGATAATAATACGACGACTTAAAAATTTATTCCAAAAAGTCAATGCGGGGATTGCCTCTTGGAACCCGACATAATTTTTATGAAATCCGAACACCCATTCCGATACGGGTTCAACCATACCAATTTTATCAAATTCTGATAACAACTCGACCTTCAAATCTTAAATTTTTTTTTTGGAAGATTTAGCTAAAATCTTGATTTCTTCCATTAAAATCCGAATTAAACGATGAATATAATCATATATTTATGAAATATAAATACTTTAGGATATAGAACACTTACCCCAATCCATACGGTGAAAATCGCCTCAAAGATCGCTTCAATCCGAGCTCCATAGATCCAATTATGTTAAAAATGGATGAAACCTCGAAATATAGCTACTGTCCAGGTATTTACTGTTCGCGAACACGGAAAATGCTTCGCGATCGCGAAGCACAACTTTTCTCAGCCCAAAACTTGCCTTTCGCGATTGCGAAGAACAAGTGTCCAGCTCTTCTAGACAGCCTCTAGTACAATGGTCATAAATTTTTGTACAAAACTCTAAATTGCAAATGGTTTAACTTTATGAAACCTAGACACCAAGGTCTATAACTTTTATTTGTTGATCATCTCCCAATTCCTTATAGATTGCTAGATATAAGCTTCCAAAATCAGCCTTGTGCAACAGAGATTTCCAAACTCTTCCCAGATAGCCTATAGTATATCCACCATAACCTTTTGTACACAACTCCAAATGACAAATGGTTTACTTTTCTGAAAACTAGATATAAAGAGATACAACTTTTATTTTTAGATCATCTCCAAATTTTTTATAGATTACGAGATATAAGCTTCCAAAATTGGGTCAGTACAATAGAGATTTCCTCTATGCGATCGCGAAAAGGCTTCTACGATCGCGATTCACAGTGTCCAAACAGCAAAATTGCTCTTCGCGATCGCGACCGTTTGTCCGCGATCGCGATGCATACCTCTGTGGCCAAAAACCAGTAACTAAAAATGGCCTAGAAATGGTCTGAAACCACCCCGAAACTCACCCGAGCCACTCAGGACCCCGTCCGAACATACCAACAAGTCTCAAAACATATTACGGACTTAGTCGAAACTTCAAATCACATCAAACAATGCTAAAACCGCGAATCATATCCCAATTCAAGCTTAATGAAACTAAAAAATTTCAACTTCTACATTCGGCGCTAAAACCTATCAAATCAAGTCTGATTGACCTCAAATTTTGCACACAAGTCATAAATGACATAACAGACCTATAAAAATTTTCAGAATTAAATTCCGACCCTGAATCAAAAAGTCAACTCCCCGGTCAAACTTCCAACTTAAACTTCATATTTTCGTCATTTCAAGCCTAATTTAACCACGGGCTTTCAAATAATTTTTCGGACACACTCCTAAGTCCAAAATCACCATACGAAGCTATTGGAATAATTAAAACTCTATTCCGGGGTCGTTTACTCAAAAGTCCAACTCTGGTCAACTCTTTTTATTTAAGTTTCAAAAATGAGAATTGTTCTTTCAATTTAATCCCGAATCTTTCGAAAATCAAACTCGACCACACTCGCGGGTCATAATATATATTAAGAAGCTGTTCGAGACCTTAAGTTACTGAACGAGGCATAAATTCTTAAAATGACAAGTCAGATCGTTACACTTCCGAAAATCAAACTCGACCACACCCGCGGGTCATAATAGATATTACGAAGTTGCTCGAGACCTTAAGTCACTGAACGGAGCGTAAATTCTTGAAACGACAAGTCGGGTCGTTACAAGTAGCTATAGAACAGTAGGTCCAGGATGCACAGGGGGAAGCTCCATGACGATGTCTTTAAATTGAACAATATTAATTAAAGTATTTTTCTCTTTAATCGTTTAACATCTTTAAATATATTCCGATATTTTTTATATTAATATTTAATCGATAAATTTTCTATTTAAAAAATACTTAGGTTGATAAATTTTCTATATTATTATTTTATATGTTAGTTTCTTACATTTTGTTTACTAAAATTCGGTACGGTTTTGTTTGAACTGTAATCTTTTTTCAGATATTTTTGGGTTATAAGAGAATTAAATATTTAATTTCATAACTAATCAAGATATATTTAATAATTATTCATATAAAAAATACTTAGGTTGATAAATTTTCTATATTATTATTTTATATATTAGTTTCTTACATTTTTTGACTAAAATTCGGCAGGGTTCTGTTTGAACTGTCATCTTTTCAGATATTTTTGGGTTATAAGTGAATTAAATATTTAATTTTCATAACTAATCAAGATATATTTAATAATTATATATAAAAAAATATTTAGGTTGATAATCTATATTAATATTTTTTATGTTTGTTTCTTACATTTTTGACTAAAATTCGGTAAGGTTTTGTTTGAATTGTCATCTTTTTCAGATTTTTTGGGGTTATAAGAGAATTAAATATTTAATTTTCATAACTAATCAAGATATATTAAATAATTGTTCATATAAAAATTACTACAAACTTAATACTAAATAGTATTTAATTTATTTCATTCGTAACGATTTATTTGTTAGCTTTTATATTTTACCCAGAAATCCAGTAGCGTCTCTTTTGTACTGTTTACTAATTATTTTATGATTCATATCTAATAGTTGATTGTTATCTAATAATACATTTAATCCATAATTGAGTACTCTAACCAGGTTAGTTAATGAGGGCACGTAATTTTTATTCTAGACTAAAGAATCCTAAAAAGTACTAAAGTCACACTACTCTAAATGGTCATAAACAACGTCAACTAACATAAACTAAAATTTATCATCGGTTTTACTAGGTTAAAGGGCACTACATAATAATAAAAGGCATAACATATCACTAAAGGGCATTAAACAACAATAAAGTCATATATTATTATATGTACAAAACTAAAGTCACATATAACACTAATTATTCAACAAAAGAACAATATACAATTTTCATAATTTTTTGCACATAAATAAACTAATCCGGATAAAAAATAAAAAAAATAACTATATCAAAAAACGATCACAAAAAGCATACAACACAGTAAAAATAACTAATTAGTAAATTATATACATGAGTTTTACTATAAAAGTGAGTCGGAATACCTTGTTTTAGAGTTTTTTGAATTGAAAAAAATTGATGATTTGACCACCGAAACGAGCAATAGAAGAGATTCACTACACGACAACACCTTGGATCGGGTGTTAGCTCGCTAAAATAAGGAGGGGACACGATTTTTGGAGGACGAGTGGGCTCCAATGGAGCTTTAAGCTTTAAAAATTGTTGGGGGTTGGGGGGAGGGGGGGTTTACCTTAAGATTGGGCCCTTTTTAATATAGGTATAGCGTGATGTGTTATACTTGCCTGTCTTTCATTTAAAAATCAGGGGATGGTATGCGCTATATCTTAACGGACAATAAAAAATCAGGGGATGGCATGCGCTATACCTTAACGGACAAACGTGTCGTTAAGGTATACCCTATTTTTTCCATCTATTTTTATGCTTTGAGTCCAAAAATACCTCCAGAGCATGGGGGTACAAATAGAAAAAGCAAAATAATGTAAAACCGGAAGAAGGAACCATTGATGAGCCAATGTTGTTCGTAAACAATCCAAACGAAACTAATTTATTTTGTATAATATTTTATACAAATAAAAAAATCTCTATAATTCAATACTATGAAACTACAAAACACCAAAATATGAAAAGAGGTAACCAAATTATTTGCTGTCTATGACCATATCTTCAGCTGCCGATTCATCGCCAAAATCGGACTCTAAGTCAAAATCCCAATTACCAACATCATGATTAACAATAACATCAAACGTAAACATAACTTCATCCTCTGCACTTTCAATTGGCATCTTATATCTACAAATCGGACACGATCCATTAATCCCTAGCCACTTCGCAACACAATTTGAATGAAACTTATGTCTACACGGCATCTCCTTAGCTTCATCACCGACTTCGAATTCTAACAAACAGATGGCGCATTCGATCCCTTGTTCAAAAACCGAAACCATCGGCATCGATTCAATTGACGCTTTAGTTGCAGGTAAAGGCGCTTCCTTAACCTCAATGAAAGTAATTGATCTGTTCGTTGCGTCCACCACTACCCTTACCTCAAGTGGATGTTCTGGTAGCGGAGAAGTGGCGGAGAAGTGGATGATATAAGGGAGGATTATTGATCTGGCGTTCCTTGAGGTCAGCTCTTCGAGAGATGGCAGTGATGACATCTCCGCATCGGTAGATAATGGAGCCATTCCACACGATGCTGTAGCTGACTATGGTTGACGCGTGCGCGCGAGAGAGAGAGAAAAAGTAACTTTTGAAAGGAGGATAGTCTGTCTTATAGGCTGCTTTGGTAGCGTATGGAGGTGACGCGTTCTAGACGTGGGATTGAGAAAGTTTAGAGTCCAAGTTCAATGTAATTATAAGTAAATTTTTATATATTAAGTAATAAGTAGTAACCTTATAAAAATAGTAACGAACATATTAGTAAAGCAGCTAATAATAACTTGTTGAGTATAAGTTACATATATTGAGAGTGTACAAAAAATAATTGTGCTAGCAATACAATTTAACTAGCTATAGGTTATACTCTTTCTCTCATATTGTAATATCAAACTTAATATAGAGAGTTACCTATTATAGTAGGTCAATGGAACATAATAAAAAAAAATCTTTGTATTGAATTGTAACTCTAAATTTATAGAGTTTTAAGTTATATAACCGTTAGTGTAAAAAAAAGATTTTTTTTATCAAGTAACCTTAAGAATATCGACACGTAAGCTTTATTAAAATATGAGATTTATAATTTTACAAACCTACAACAATAACTTTAGATAACTTAATCGTGTAAAAATATTTTAGACTAACTATATATATATANTGACAACTTTACCAAACATGATAATTAGTGAGTTACTATTGTCTTAATGGTTGATTTGTTTTTCCTTTTCGACGTCTATATATATATATATATATATATATATATATATAGCTTTTGTTAATGAATACTCTCTCCGGATTATTTTATAATATGATATTATTAGGCACGAAAGAAAGAGAGATAGACTTCGATACATTCGGGGACGGCCCTTCCATAAAGCAAGTAAAACAATTGTTTACCCGTAAAATGGTACAATTAAATTTATATATGGTTACTTGACAAGTGAACTAATTTGATCCTAAAATAATATAATAATCAGAGAAATACACAATACTTAGCCGTAGAATGTAGATGAAATAGCAAAGATGGTGATTCCGTGAACACGATTTCCAAACACAGCAATGATGAGATCAAAAAGCGAGAAAGTGAAATTGCATAAAGTTTTGTATAGAATACAGTATATGTTCTTGCCAGAAAATTCGTGTCATTTACAATGGTAACTTAGCTCACTATTTATAGTTATGCCTAGGGAAAAGGTCCTAGGATCATACCCTCCTTTAATACTAATTATGATGGTCATTGATGAAGATGTAACGTTGAGTATAAATGCCAAATTCTCTGTAACGGACCGTCGCTCTTAATGCTGTAGAATATTCTTTAGTAAATGCTACCAGGCGCAGAGCATTTAATACACTTTTATAAACGTTATCCGTTCTGGTGACAAGCATAGTGACTGCGTTCGGTCCTCAGCCATCTCATCTTGGATTTCACGTGTCCTCCTTTTAGTCAGCCACATGTCATATCATATTTTACCCTATACAGATAGTCACCCTGCCTTCCGGTGACATAACTTTATGTTATCGGGAAGTTGGTAAAAATACTTTTTTGGCGGGAATTACTATAATTTCCTCTGAAGGTCTCTTACAGTTGATTAGACACACGTCTCTCAGTATATAATGCCCCAAACACGCGTCATCCCATGATTCAGCACCGCTTTTTCCGATTATCGAGGTAATCATGGCCATGAATTTAGCCGCCAAAATTTCACTTATACGCAACTTTCTTTTCCTTTGCGTTTCATAATTTCTTGAGCTTCTGATTTGCATCCTTGTTTTCCATCCTTTCTCTAATTTTCTTCAAACACAAACTCTTTACCTACTTCTTTTGCAATGGCTTCTTCCTCCAAACGTGGTGGTTCTATAAAGAATAAGAACAAAATCGAAGATTCCACTCCCCCAACAGTGGATTCCATCATCCCAAGACGGCTTAATACTTCGAAGGATTTTGAAGAGAAATTTTCTACTGCTAACCCTCGTACATTGGTTGTTAGTAGGTACCCTTCTTCCATCTGTCCTTCCAGTATTCCTGCTATGAAGGAGGATTGCCGCTGCAATGAGTTAGAAATTATCGCTCCCGATTTATCGGAGCGAGTGACCCTTCCCAAGAAAGGTTTGACATACTTTTTCACATATCCCTTTACTTTGGGTGCGTTTTCCTTGAGCGGAGAGCTTGATTCTGTGATTGCGGAGTTTTGCCTTCACTACCAGGTATGTTTGGCACAGGTAAGTGATTCAGTGTGGAGGACGGTTGCTTGCCTCCGACGTTTGTGCCAAGAATCTCGAGAGAAGCTAACCTTAACTCATGTGATAAATCTCTATTCCCCCAAAATCTTTCGCGGGGGAATGATAAACCTTTGCAAGCGTGGCCACCACAATTGTTGTCTAGCATGAATGATGACAACGACCGTAGTTGTATGAAATGGTTCGTTGCAGTTGCCACCAACGACATCATTCTGACAATGGCTTCATCCTTTCTGGTTGCTTGGAACCGCACTCGTAAGTTCTTTGTATAATATTCCTCTTACTAGATATTCTTCTATGGCCGTATCATCTCTTCACCCTTTGCATATTTCAGCAACTCGATGGCTCCCACCAGTGGTGAAAGGTTTGAACCAGTAGGTTCAAAAGATCTTAGATGTCACAACTCCCAAAACTCGTTCGTGGAAAGAACTATCCCTTAAATACGGGTGGAAGGCCAAATATCATGGTAACTCTAATTTACCTTGCTTCCATTTTTGCATATGAAGAACTTGGTTGAACCCTTCTCACTTTGTTCAAGGAATTAGGTCTACCTGCGGGCTCTGTTGTTGCTCCCGAGGAGGACGTTCTGGTTTATCCTGCTGATGCAGCGAGGCTGCTTCAGGAAGCACTTACTCGAACATGTATCTCTGGGCCTGTTTCGGCTGCAAATACTTCTTTACAGAGTCCCCGGCCGGAGGATAAACAAACAAAGAGAAGGCGTTCTTCCGTAGTCGGGGAAAAGAATAAAAGGGCAAAGATTGATGCCCCGAGTCATCTCCGGTGGCGATGATAACTGATCCTCCTTATGGGCCGGTCATAGAAAATATGATGATCGATGATGAAGTTGTTGATGAGGGAGCTTCTTTACACAAAATGCAATGATCCTCATCATCTCAACATGATGCTCGACCTGTTGAGATAGATACACCAACTGAACACGATGCTTCGGCAGTTTGGGGAGAATCTGATTTGGCAGAATATGCCAACTCCCATTTTTGGGCCCCAATTGATGCAACTGGTACTGCAGGGCTGAGTATCGGGTCCTTGCCGTCTTTGGTTGGCGAGAATCAAACAACCAGCACTGCATTTGATGCAGCGACTTCTCACTCTTGAATTCCATCAGCTTCACCTCCACCCTCACCGACACCAGCAACTGCTACATCATTTCCATCTCCGTCTACTCTTCTACCAGCGGTTGCTACACCATCTCCATCGGCCGCAGCTGACCATGAAGAAGGTGTTCCTCTCCCACAGTCCCCAGTTCATGGGAATTTAGGGCAAAATTATAATGCCCCTTCTGAAGATCCACAAAGAAGGAGGAACATTACTCTTTCGGTCTCTACCGGGTGCAACCTGCTATCACGGCTGGTGGAGCTTGCTAATTACCTGAAGCCTTTGGCTTCAGAAAAAGACTGGAAAAATATTAAGACACTCTCGGGCAAGTATTTGTTGAACAATGCTATGCATAATACCGCGGCGGTACGTTCCTTCCTTCCTCTGTTATTTCTTCTACTTTTGAACAAACTTATTCTAAGTTTTACCTTTTCTTGTTTTGTAGGACAACTTTCTTGCTTCTGAGGGCCTTCAAAGGTTGATTCGTGAAAAGGAAGAATTTACTTCTAAATGGGATCAACCTTTGGCGAAACGGGACCAGACTGTTCTCCGCCTCTCAAAATTGGAAACTAGAGCTACTGAGGCCGTTGTTTTGGAGGCTCGTTTGCAGCAAAGCGAGCAAGAAGTGGTAATCCTTAGCCAAGAAATTAGGCCGTTGAGGGTTAAATTTGATGAGGCCAAGGCCAAATGGGCAGAAGTCTATAACATCGTTCTTGCTGCAGCCGACCGTGAGGCTGCTTCCGCTGAAAGAGTGATTAACTTAGAGGCAGCCTTGAACTCCTAAAGTAAAGAGCTTTATGTTGTGGAGGTGAAACATGCCCACCTAGAAGATAAGTACAGGAAAACTATTGAGCATAATAGGCTCTTTAGTTCAATTGTCCGCGAGCTCGACGTCAGCCTCAAATCTGCTAGATCTACCCGGGAAAACCTTTTCACTGAGGTTACTCAACTCAAAGAAGAACTTAATCGTCGAGCGTCTTCCCTAATTGTTGAAAAAACTTATTCCATGTATCGCATGAGGAGAAAAACCTTAGAAGAGGCCAAAGCTACTATCATTGATGTTGATACAGAAATTGCTAAGGCCCGAGAGCTTGAGTTGGCTGCAAAAAATAGACTCCTGACACAGTCTGATGCTCCAGGTTCTTCTAATTTAGGTTCCAAATTTTTGGAAACTGAAGAAGGATCGGAAGGGGATGAAGCCTAAGACCAAACTGGGGAAAGCGTTGTGCCATCGGCGGAACCACCTACTCTTCCCGGCAATGCGGATACTTCTCTTCCTCTTGGTCCCGGAAGCACTGTAGTTTAGCTATTCCTTTCTTTTCTCATTATGTACTTGTAACATTTTGGCCCATTCTTGTGAATAAAGACATACTTTTTGTTCAAATATCGTTTGAGTCTTACTGTCGTTTGAATATCCATGCAAGCTTTTAACTTTTGCGTTTGCTCAAGCATTCCACGCATGTTGTTCAATTTGCGCTTTATTATGTGTAGTCTCGGATGCCTTTTCTTTGAAGCATTTTGGTTTCGAGTATTATCCCTTTTACGTGAGGGATTTTATGAATTTTTGCGCAAGTTTCCCTTTTACGTGAGGGTTTCTATGAATATTTATGCAAGTTTGCTTTTTGCGTCCTTTTCATATGCGGCTTTGGGTGTATTATTCCCTGATAGCATTTTGGATTCCGGGCATTGATTCTTCCGGAACCAACCCTTTAACATGAGAGTTTTTATAAGAGAGGGCTCTCTTATGTTTACGGT